ACGTAGTAATGGTTTAAGCCTGTCCTCAGTTTGGGATCTTCATTCGTTCGTGGTCCTGGTCGTTTTTCCGTCCCTCTATCTTAGTGTCTTAACGCTTGTTTGGTCCCCCTCAGGTATGTTGGTATATTTTCTACCTATATTATGTTTTGTTGATCCTCCCAACTTTATTTATATTTTAATTTAAAAGGTAATTTATTTTATTTTTTATTATTATATTTTTTTTTATATTTTATTTTATTTTTGAACAGGTATGGACCGTCCTAGATAGTATGGTCTTTCCTAGGTGTGTCTAGTGGCATGTTTGTAGTTAGGGTTTAGCTGCTGTGATGTGGTTGGATATGTTGGTCTTTATTAGTTGGTGGTTAAGGTCCAGGATTGTGAGTGTGTTGGTTTTTAGGATATGTTTAGTTCGTGACGGTTTGGATGAATTGGAATTTGTTGATATCTTTTAAATATTGTATGATGTTAATGTATGTGCACTCCATGTTTGGGTTGAGTTCAGTATTGAGTACGTCCGGGTAGGTACATGGTGCTCCTAGCTTTGTCTGATATGTATTGAAGATGTTTCTTTGTTGTCTATATTGAGGGCAGTCGTTAATAATGTGAAGGAGTGTTTCCGGTATACGACATGAGGGGCAGTTGGGGGAGTTGTTAGCTCCCAGTCCAGTTTCTAGTAAGGTCGTTCTTGTCTTGAGTCGATTCTTTTGGGTTCAGGCGCGTGCGGTCTTCGCTGCCTCGCTTGACTTTCTGGTGGATGTGGTGTAGTGCCTTTCCCTTGTTGGAGGAGTCCCATTGTTGTTGCCATTCCTTATTGATTGCGTTGATTATGGCACTGTAGAGTTCTTTGGCGCTGTAGTGTATGGACACTATCTCCTTGTCATTTCCAATCAGATTGATAAGGGAGGGAACCCAAAGGAATTCATTCGGGATTTGCTCTGCCTTCAGGGCTCTGAGGGTCGCTAGTACGTCCTGTAACATGTTGCCTTTGGAGTTTGTTGTTCTTGTTTCCAGTGTGGTGAGTACACTGAGTGTGTCGGAGATGATAAGATTGTGTTGGTGTGGGTGTTGTTGGATCCAGTGAATAGCTTTTTGGATTACCCAGAACTCCTCAATATAGATGGAACATCCGTCCATGAGCCGTCGGTCTGGTATCAACATTGCTGCTGAAGTTCGTCGTGGTGTCTCTGAGCAGGATCCGTTAGTAAAGATATTAATGTGTGTTGGATATTGTTCTTCCAGTATTGTGTTGTTTTTTTTTTGCTCTAGTAGCTTCCAAGGATATAGATGTTTAGAGTCCAGGGCGTGGGATCTAGTATTTGATGTTTCTCAGCTTGGAGTTAGTTGAGTTGTAAGGTTGTTCCTAGTTGATGTATCTTATCTGCAGCTGGTGGGTTTGGTATGAGTGTCATGTTGAATGGGATGTTGCATATTTGAATAGTTTGGGTGAGTGTTGGGATGGACCGATAATCGGGCTGCATAGCGTGATGAGCTCATCTCTCCTTAGTAGTAGTGGCAGTTCACCAGCTATAATCGGTATCTCTTCTAGCAATGTGTTTGTCAGTAGGCCGGTGCAGATCTTAAGGGCTCGATATTGGATAATATTTAGTTTTATTAGTAGTGTCTTATTGGCAGAGTCATAGATTTGACAACCGTGATCCAGTTTGGCTCGTATGAGGGCTTTATAAAGCATCAGAAGGGTGCGTTGGTCTGCTCCACAGTTTGTGCTCTTTAGGTCGCGTTAGACGTTGAGGTCTTGTTTGCATTTGTTGACAAAATGCAATATGTGTTATTTCCATGTCAGGGATTCGTTCAATAGTATTCCTAGGAAGGTGATTTGTGTTAGAAATGTGATGGGTTGCCCTTGTAGATAGAGAGGGTATGCCGGTTTCTTCGTTCGTGGCCGGGAGAAAGGTATTGCCACTGTTTTACTGGCTGAAATTTCGAATTCCCAGTCTTAGCTCACAGTGTGGTTGCATCTAGTGCTGATTGGAGGTGTAGAAGATATTTATTGTTGGTAGGATTACATGCTTTACAAATCCCGTTGTCATCCGCAAATTGGGATATTGATATGCAGAGGTCGATGTAGCTGGACAGACAGTCTACCATAATATTAAAAAGCATTAGACTGAGGACACTACCTTGTGGTGTTCCATTTTCCAAAGTATAGGTATCCGAGTATTGGTCCACTATACGTACTTTTATTTGTCATCCGGTGAGAAAGTTGGCAATCCATCGGTGCATACGACCCATCACGCCATACTTGTTGAGTCTCGAGATGAGGACACCGCTCCATACGAGATCGAAGGCCTTATCGGAAGATCCAGAAATATTGTCTATGTCTTTTGGATTTGTTGTTGAATGCAAGGCGGATGTCGGCTTCCAGGCGTATGAGCTGATCTAGGGTGATCTGTTCTTGCGAAACCCACTTTAAGTTTCCGATAATGTTCCTTTTTTGTGAGATGTACTTTAAGCCTGTTATTCACCTTGTTTTCCATGGTTTTACATAGTGCGATGGTGCGGAAGATTTGTCGATACGATGATTACTGTTTGGGGTCCTTACCTGGTTTAGGGATTGGCATTACGACAGCTTCTTTAATTGCGCGGGTATTACTCCAGTTTACCATATGCGATTGATGAGATCAAGTGCCTTTATTATCATGTTTGTGGGTAAATTCTTATACATTGCACATCCAATTTGATCCTGGCCTGGGATTGTGTTTTCGTATGCCTCAGTGTTTGGGTCCATTCATAGACTGTAAAGCAATCATTGAGTGGGTCTGTTTGCGCCCGTGGTTCTGCGGATTGGTCGGTGAAACTATGCCGGTATGTGGTCTCTAGTGTTTGTCTTTGTTCCATAAAGTCGTCATTATGATTCTGATTGCTAATTGAGCGAAGTGTGTGGCCATTTTGTCTGCTCGTTATTTGTTGGTTTGGGCCCCTGCAAGTCTTGGGGGTTGAGGGGCTCTTCCTTTGATTGCTTTTATTTCGGACCAGACTTACCTGGCGATAGTTGAGGTTACTGCAGTATTGCTGCCATGATGTGCATTTGGCTCTTCTAATTGTCCCTCTGGTGCGTTGTTCTTGTTGTTTGTACTCGTGAAACATCGTTGATGTCCTTGCTTTTTTGAATTGCTTCAGTACTTGTTTCTTGCTTTGTAACGCCACTTTGCTTACCTCGTTCCACCAAGGTGGTTTTGGTTTGTTAGGTTTTCCTGTCGTTCGTGGTATGGATATATCTGCTGCGTCATTGATGGCTTGGATTAAGTTGGTGTAATATGTGTCTAAGTTATAATCTTAAATGTTCTGTGGGTTCATTTGGCTTAAGATTGTTTGGAAGTGTGTCGAGTTTGCTCGCTCAAGTCTCTATCGTTTGGGTAAGCCTTGCGTTTCCCCTCGGAGCTGTAAGGTGAATGGTTAAGATTAATGGAAAGTAATCACTTCTAAGGGTGGATTCCTCATAAACTTGCCAATTGAAGATTTGTGCCACCGTGTCGGTGGCAATGATGAGATCAATCGCAGAGAATTGAACATTGGCCGGGTTGATCCGTGTGAGTTCGCTGGTGTTGATGACATGAAATCCTTTGTCTTTAGAGAATTTTTCTATCACTTCCCGCGTTGATCCCTATGTGTACCGCCCCACTCAACATTATGTGCATTTAAATCCCCACAGATGATGGTGTGTCAGTCATGTTTTTGTATAATTTGCTTGAGCCGTAGGCTGGGATTTTTGTTGTGAGTGGGTAGGTCATATATGTTGTAAATGTTGTATATTTTTCCTCGAACTTTGATTCGGATGCTTTGATGTTCTAATTGAATTGTTTTATCCGCAGCTATGTTGTTTAGTTCGGTTACCTCCGGAATTGTGCTGTGGACGTATATAGCGATCTCACCCTCTCTTGCCTCATTGGGTCGGCTTTTGTAATAAACTTGGTCGTAGACCCTTATTTTTGGTTGTCTGGGGTGGTGAAGGGGTAGCATAGTCTCCTGTAGGCATATGATGTCAGGAGGTCTCGAGGCTTCTGCGATGGCTGCTACAAGTTCCTCTACAGTTCCATTGCCATATAACTATTGCGTCCCTGTTGTTGTTGTGTCGTCTATTGTTTTGGTTCTTTTGTGAATGTCTGTTGTGGTTTTGATGAGTGTTGTATTTGGTCCAGTGTCCTTATGTATCGACCTTGATTGCTGCTATGTTCTTTATGTTGAGGTATGTTCTCTTTTGCTGGTGGTTTGAGCACCATACGATAATGTTGGAGCTGGTAATTGTATATTTGAAGTCGGCCTTGTGTGCTAATTGGAGCGTCTTGGCTATATCCAGATGGCTGTAAGTAGCAAATTTACGATCTCTGCTTATGATGTAAATTGGTGGGATGATATTATTGGCGACTATTTTTTGTTAAAGGTGGTTTCCTTGATGATTGTAGGCGTTTATTAATTGGTAGATCTATGACCCGTTCGTTCTTGAGGTGTGTCTTTTTGTTGATTTTTGCGCTCGGTGTTGGTTGCGTCTCAGCTCTATTTTCCATTGTGCTATGAGTAGTTCGAACCGTTAGGCGGGTAATATTCTTTCCTTACCTAACTTGTCCACCCAGAGGGGTTGTTTTTCTCTATGTGATGTGACTACGTCTTCATATTCTTGACTATAATCAAAATCTGGACGTAGGAAAGCGTATGAGGTAGACGGTTTGGGATACTCCTTTAATTGGTGTTCTTTTGTTTTCAAGATGTGGTGGTTGTTGCCACTGAATACGGTTGTTTCCCTTCAATGTGGTGGTCGCCTCCTCGAGTTTCTGGTTGTAGTCGATGGTCAGTTGTGGTTGGTATCACTTGTTTTCAGTGATTATGTGTTGTGTTTCAATTGGGTTCTGTTTGTCCTGCTGGGAAATATGGGACGTTATTGGTGTGCCTGATAGGGATAGTTTTCGTCTTTGGAGCATTCTAGTGTATTCTCTTGGTGTTCATTTCCTAACGTTTTCCCTATTGGGTTTTACTGTTGTTGAACCGATCCGGTGGCCTAGTGGTTAGAGCGCCCGTCTCGGATGGGGGAGGTCGTGGGTTCGATCACCGGTCGAGTCATATAAAAGACTTACAAAAGGGATACTAACAGCTGCCTCGCTTGGCGCTCAGCATTAAGAGGTTAGTGTTAGGATTGGTCGGCCTGGTGTCAGGATAATATGACTGGGTGGGACATCATGCTACATGTCTGGGGCATGATGCTCATGCTCCAGTGCTAGTCAGCACTATAAACTGCCACACTGCAGACAACGTAGCAATATGACTGAAAAATTGTTAAAGCTACGTTAAAATCATAAATCACATCACATCACATCCTAACGATTGTTGAGATTGTGCTAGGAGTGCGTGCCATTCCTTTAAGAGGGCTGATAGCTGTATCTGCGTTAGATGTGATATGTTGAATCGGGAGGTGGTTCTCTTTCCAGAAGTGTAAGGGTATCTTTTTCCCTCTGCTGTTCTTGATGAGGGTGGCTATGGCTTGCTCTACCGTAATTATACCCTTGGGAGTGGCAGACGGCCATTGTTTGGTCAACCTCTTCGTGGTCAAGGAATGTTTTAATTATTTGCGTTCTTGGAGTGATAGGTGGAGTGGAGTTTGTGGGATGAAGTTAATTTCCGGTCCCTCACAATTATAATGGTAGTCAGACTTGTTTTTATATTCTTGGAGCACGAACGTGATGGAAAACATCCCTAACACTTAAATTTTACCATTCCATGAAACACGCTGAAAGAAGCACTCACGTTGAATATTTTTTTTATTACTTTTTTTGACTTACAAACACATACAGATACAATTTGGACAAGACAGAAACAAAGTGCTTAAAGACACACTTTCATATTTTTTTTAAAAAAAATTTTAAAAAAGTTTTGGCAAATAGAAAGAGTATATCTTTTCGAGAGTATCGGGTAGCCATGACCTGATTTTTTTTGTAGACGAAGAATAATAGCAATAATTTTTTCCTGTCTAAGATTGCGACCCGTCTAGCAGCTGGCCTTCCTATATGGCCTGCTTCTGCAAAAAGAGAAAGAGAATTCTTTAGAATTCGACAGTCCACAAAGCCCCTGTTTGGAACTTGATTTTTTGGTTTCTGCTGCTGCTGTTCTTCTCTCTGCTTCTTCTGAAGTCTGTATTTCTCAGTCAATTCTTCTTGTTCTTTCTTAATTTCGTCTCTAAAGATATCTTCTATGACGTCTTGGGCTATAGAGAGCATCCTGACATTCTCTGTCTTCAGGCTTGAGTATCATGCTTAGCTTGACACAATGTAATTGATCTAGCTTTGTTTAGTTTAGCTAGTCTGGAAGGCATCTTCATAGGTTGACGAGTCAACCGTGGATGGTCAGACTGGAGACCCACCTTTATATGGTACAAACGCAACCGTGATAGAAAACATCCCTATTGGGTTTTACTGTTGTGCTGATAGTTCATGTCATGGGGAGGTATAAAGAGAAAGTCAAAGAGCATATATTCGCAGTGATTGTTTTAAATTAAAAACTGCAGACACGTTTTTCAAAATGTATATTTTTTCTTCAGATAACTATAAACGTAATCAACAAGGAACATACGACAATAATTTCCAACAAATAAATTATTTCTGACAAGTTTGACAATGTCGTGAGATCATGTGAGATTTCCATTGATGAAAGTCATGAGGCCATTGATGTACACTCTGTTTTCTAGCTAAAGACAAAAGATAACCTTTAATGGTCACAAAACCATCGATCTACTTTTTTATCGTTTCTAGAAGAGTGAAGATCAAAATAAGTTATTAGATGTTCTAAAGAATATCCCAGACTGAGTTGATGAAGAAAACATATACAATGTTGTCCACACACCATGGAATCTTGCCTTGTAATTTCATATTATTGAATCGTGTCGTCTGGACATTTCTTCTCATAAAGTCAATGATATCGTCTTCCAAAGGCGGTAATCCATACGAATCAAAATACTCCACACAATTTTCTTGAGGAAAGTACACGGCTACCCAGTGAGTTCCTGGAAGATGACTGTCATCCGTGTTCATGACATAAGCTTGATGGTCTCGAGGTTTGCGATGAGGGAGTTCATCTTTAGTACGCACAACAAGATTCCAAGAAGCAGTATACGAACTGTTGTTCAAACGGTAACAAAGTTACCAAGAATCCGTTTTCTTCTGGTTGTTTTGTTTCTCTTATTTTTAAACAGGTAATGATAAGTCATCAATACTATTCTGACATTGTGCTTGAAAAGTTCTGACAAGTAACCGTTTTTGTTTGCCTTGTTTCTCAACTCTGGGCTAAGAGAGCTTCAATGCGATAGATCTCTTGAGTAGTCAATGGAGGGCAGGAATGATCACGCAAGCCTTTATATCACTCATGCAACACGGCTTCTTCTGCGACGAGACTCCAAGCTTCGGCCAGATATTCGTCTAATTTTTCTTCTTGGTTCATCATCAGACATTTATCGTGTTGAATATGACTGGGATGATCGTTTAGACATCCATAGCAATCTATCTTGACCAGTTCCGTAGTCTTATCTGCTAAGTGTTTAGGAAAACAGGACACTAAATGTTGTTTTTGTCCTGGCCATCTGAACTTGACTACCTCGTCCTCTTTATCCTGGTTCTGGGGATTCTGTTTGCACGGTATCCTCCCATTCCATAAATTCTTCAACTTTCAAAGAAACATAACTGTCTTCCATAATGACTAATAATCTGGAATGACTTCTCTCAAACTGCTGATTTCTATGGTATTATCGAATTCAGCATACAGGATGACGTTCACTGTCTCTTTGAGACCTGATAGATCTCTAAAATGAAATTTCACTCGCAGTTGACCGGATTTTATAGGGTGGAAATGTCCCTCGTCACTGCCTTGATATGGAATGAAATAAAAAAAAAACATAAAAAGCGTAACCTCCGGCATAATCGTTGTATAAAATGCCGTGGATAGTGTTGGTTCCTAGTTGCCCGGTAGCTTCGTACAGGGACAAGTACAATCTCGTGTAATTCATCTGGTCAAAGTTAGGTTCAAAATGTCTGGTACACAAGGTCTTTCATCGCGACTGACTTCGATCTTGGACACATCGTAGTGATCAAAGTGGAAAGGATTTTAATCGAGGGTTCCGTTGAAGGTTGCATTACTGACGATACCAACGATTAAACGTTTGGGTGAGCTGTCCTTGGAACAGATGATATTTGATCTGGGATCGGAGTCCACGAGTAATGGTGAATGTTTTTACTTCTACACGTTGTATCGGATACTTGGCAGTTGTTCGGCTTAAGGTGTGACTAATGTCCTTTCCTGTTTTAGGTAACACATCTATGCGACGCACGTAAAGTCTGGCTTCATGGATGATGGTTTTGTATTCAGCACCATGAGCTATCAAATGGAAAGCCGCACTGTTGCGATTCAGTCTCAGGCGAATATCCAGTCCGTTTAGTAAATACCTGTCTTGCAATCACATGTCCAAATGTAAACAATCAATCAGTTCTAAATTACGTCCATTCAGGATTTTCTTTCGAAGCCCACATTATGGTCCGAATCTTTCTCTTTAATCAAATCGATGTCATTTGAATTTGCCCGCCGTGCCCGGTTTTCAAACCACGCAAACATCCAGATGAGTGTTCTTGGCCTCTTTTCCGTACATCAAGAGATTACTAGGTACGCTTGGTAAGGATAAGTATCCATAATGCTGGTGATTAGCTTGTTGTTCAAGTATAAATCCATTTCGCTGATAAATGAATGCATGAATTTGTTAACGGCTGCTACTTTTCATGAAGGCATCTATAACGCTGTTGTCCGATTTGAGCACTTGCTCTTTCAGGTACAAATAACTGCTATTGATATCAATGTAATATTCTGGCTGTCCTTTGATTTCAAATTCAACGGGAGCTGAGGAGAGGAGACGGGATGAAATTCTATCCATTGGGATTCTTGCATCGTCATCAAAGTGGGTGGCATAACAAACAGATTTAGTTTCGACTTGGAACAGGCACAAGACTCTCGGTGCATCATTTTCTTCTCGCTGTAAATTTTTAATACTCAAAAATGTCTGTCTACAACAGTTTTTCTTTTCTTAGTCTTTCTAGCTTTCAGAGTGTGAAGTCCTCTGAAGGGGTATTTTCGTCTTTTCGTCGTCGTCCTTTTCTGCCTTGTTCTTGCTGGGGCGTCAGGGAAGCAGGAATGCCTGACACATCAGTAATTGTGGCATTTATAGGGGTTTCTCGTAGGCCCAAAAATTATTTGTCTGTTTGAAGCAAGATATGTTTGCCTTCTATTAAGAAAGCTTATTTGGGGTTTTGTTTGTCAATGATGACATTTTGAAGAAATTCTTTAACGTTTGTCAATTCAGCATCTTTCAGGGCGTACAATCCCATGTCACCATCGGTTTCAACGCCGGAGCCACTGTACGAGGCTTATTTGAGCATTTCAGCTAAACCATGTTCTCTTTGTGGAGTGATTCCTTGGTACACAGAACACATTACTAACAAAAAAGTTTAAAAGTACTCGTTTTCGAAAATGGAGTTTCGTGGTGACTTTCCCTTTGGTGAACGGAATATATTGTCTCAGATCTCCATTTATACTTATGTTGACATTGTTGAAATACGACTTACAGACAGGTAAATAGTGATGATGTACAAATTCACGGTGAACGTGATAGGTGTTTCCATCTTCGTCAGCAGACGTGACAGAATCTATTTTGAAAGGAATGACACGCAGTATCGGTACGGAGATATGACCCACTACGTTGTACTCCACCACATCGGAATACACAAAGATCACATTTAGTCATTGGTTCATTTCTACGGGGAATTGAAAATATTTGTCAAAATCGATGTTGCCAGTCACGGCTGGTATTTCGTTTGGAACCTTGATCAACCTATGGTCTCCACCCAAAATGTGATACAATTCAGGACAAAATGTAATGGCCAAGATTTTGTCCTCTTGAAATCTGACCATGAGGCGACGATCTATTTAGTAGTACCCAGTATTGATAGTTTATTGGTTCCCAAGGCTTTTTTTAAACACAAAATTGAAGATGTCATGAATGGCCTTCACCAAATGTTGACCACTAAAATAGT